TTCAGTATTTGTTTTTTTATTTGATACAAGTGTTTGACCGCTCACAGGATTTAGCACTTGCTTTCCCATTAATAAAATAGAGATTACATGAGTAGTATAAGCTGGTGTTTTACTGTTAATTATACCAAGCCTGGACCCATGGAGGTGTAGAGTCCTTGTGGCTTAGCGCTCTTTTTGATGTATAATAAAATAATGACCCACTGGAGTATTAATCACTGAAAGACATGGGTGGTGAAAAAAAGAGAAGTGGACGTGATGGAATATCTACATGGATTGTTGAATTGTTGATTTTTAATTTTGGTGACAGAGCTTCATCTACAATCCCCTAAAAGATGCCTTGATGTCAGTGAGGGGATCTTAATTCAGAGAACTGAACATAACCTTCCTTCCCTTGTATCAAACCTGATTGCCTTCTATTCCCCCATGTGCTGCATGTCCTTCCAGGATTACCACTCTTCAGTGATTAGCCTTTTTTTTTTTTTTTTTTTTTTTTCAACAAGTCGGCCGTCTCCCACCGAGGCAGGGTGACCCAAAAAAGAAAGAAAATCCCCAAAAAGAAAATACTTTCATCATCATTCAACACTTTCACCACACTCGCACATTATCACTGTTTTTGCAGAGGTGCTCAGAATACAACAGTCTAGAAGCATAACATATAAAGATACACAACATAATCCCTCCAAACTGCCTATAATCCAACCCTCCTTTAAGTGCAGGCATTGTACTTCCCATTTCCAGGACTCAAGTCCAACTATATGAAAATAACCAGTTTACCTGAATCCCTTCACTAAATATTTACCATGTCACACTCAACAGATCGTCAGGTCCCAAGTACCATTCGTCTCCATTCACTCCTATCTAACACGCTCACGACGCTTGTGGAAGTCCAAGCCCTTACCCACAAAAACCTCCTTACCCCCTCTCTCCCACCTTTCGAGGACGACCCCTACCCGCCTTCCCTTCCCCTATAGACATGATTTTTGCTTTCCATGTTATTTCTTTGATTCCATTCTCTCTAAATAACCAAAACCACCTCAAAACCCCTCTTCTGCCCTCTGACTAATTTACTTTTATTAAACTCCACAACCTTTCTCCTAATTTCCACACTCCGAATTTTATGCATAATATTTACACCACACATTGCCCTTAAACAGGACATCTCCATGCCTCAACCGTCTCTCGCTGCTGCATTTACCACCCAATGCTTCACACCATATAAGAGTGTTGGTACTACTATACTTTCATACATTCCCTTCTTTGCCTCCATAGATAACGTTTTTTGACTCCACATATACTCAACGCACCACTCACCTTTTTCCTCAATTTCAATTCTATGATTAACCTCATCCTTCATAAATCCATCCGCCGACACGTCACTCCCAAGTATCTGAAAACATTCACTTCTTCCATACTCTTCCTCCCCAATTTGATATCCAATTTTTCTTTATCTAAATCCATTTGACACCTCCATCTCCCTTACTCTTTTCTATGTTGACTTTCAACTTTCTACCTTTACCACACAATTCCCAAACTCATCCACTAACCTTTGCAATTTTTCTATAGAATCCCCATAGCACAGTATCATCAGCAAAAAGTAACTGTGTCAATTCCCATTTTGATTTGATTCCCCTTTAATTTAATTCCAACCCCTCTCCCAAACACCCTAGCTATTTACTTCCTTTACAACCCCATCTATAAATATATTAACAACATGGTGACATTACACATCCTGTCTAAGACCTACGTTTACCGGGAAGTATTCTCCCTCTCTTCTACACCACCCAGAAAAAAAGTCGACAGGTTTTTTTATTATACGTTGAATTTTGGGGTTAAATACCTCTCCCTGATTAAAAAAAAATCAGTACATAATCTTTATGAAACAGCATAAGGAGTGAAAGGAACTTATTTTTGTTTCCGTGTTAAAAAGTGCTTTTATGTAGTAAGATATTTTGTGGTGGCAAAACTCTCACTTCCACGCGAGTGTCCAGGTTCGATTCCTGGCAAGGGTGGAAACTTTTGGGGTGTTCTTACCTGTTGTTCATGTTCACCCATCAGTAAAAAAAGGTTCCTGGGTGTTTTTGACTGGTGGGGGTCGCTCCTGGGGAAAAAAAGACAAAATTTTGGGAAAAGTTGGATAACAAGGAACTTTTATATAGTAGAAAGTCCTGATGTCAGTTTGTTCTGTTACCTTGTCAGTACTGGTAGAAAATTTTAAAATTAAAAAAGCCATTTGTATACATGTCATTTTGTAGTAAGTTTTTTTTAGGTAAGGAACACGACAGTTTCATAAAATTAGTAAGTTTATAAATACGTTTCCTGATTTATATAATAGAGCATATATGTGATAGGGATGTATGCCCTTTTAATGTACTAGTATCCTTGACTGTACTTGTATACCTTGTACAGTTTGTATACCTTGTAAAAGCTTGATACCTTGAATGTATAGTTACCTGTACATTACTAGTTACCTTGTAATTTTCTTATATACCCTTTTAATGTATAGCATACTTTTAATGTACTGTATACCCTTTTACATGTACTTGTTACTTGTACATGTATAGTTTTCTGACCCGGAAGACTTTGGTGCTTGTCCGTCCCAGCTTGAAGACTGCCAGGGGTCTGTTGGTAACCCCCCTTATGTGTGTGGGGGCAGTTTAAAAGTTGGGCCCCCGACACTTTTGTATGGTCTCTTAAGTGTAGTGACCCCCGCTTTTCATTGGGGGGTGTTGCATGCTGCAAGTTTTTGTTTCGTAGTGAGTGATTTTGTGTGAAGTCGGTATAGTCCTCTAGGTTTTCCCGGTTATATAATCATGTACTCTCCTCCTGCGTTCGGGAAAAAGGTTTGGAACCCCAAGCGTCCCCAATTTTTTGAGGTGTTTTATCTCCGTTATGCGGCGTGAAAGTTCTTGTACTTTTCAGGTCGGCCCAATTTCACCCGCCTTGAAAGGTGCTGTTAGTGTGAGCAAAATTCCGCCTAGATAGAACAAGTGACCTGAAGAGTGTCATATGGGCTTTGGGCCCCCCTAGTTTTGAAGGGTTTTCTTATCCCTCCTGTCTTTTTTCTGCAGATGCGATTGATACAATTTATGGTTCCCTTTAAGGTGAGATCCTCGACATGACACTCCCCGGTTTTGCGTTGGGTTTCGCTCTATTTTGTGGCCAGGAATTTGTTTTGTCTTGATGAAGATTTAAATTTCCCTGTTTACCAAATTTTGAGTAATTTAAATTTTCTCGTTTAATTATATTTTTTTCTGCAGCCACGAAAGATTTGGTTTAGTCCGCTGGAGCTTTGCAGTGTTGCAAAGGAAGACCTGTCGTGCAGATTGGGTGTCATCTGCAAAGGGGACACGGTTGTGGGGTGAATCCTTGTCTTGTCGGATATGATTAAGGAATTATTAATTGAAAATTTTGCCTGTGCTTAAAGCTGGAATTAAAAGCTGGTCATAAAATGTTTGTGAAACATACAGTGGCCTCAACGAAATTTTCCAGTCCCCAGTCCACTTGGATTCCTCTTTCTTAATTTTCAGTATGGCATTTATTAATTTTTATTAAAAGGCAGTATTGAAGGAGGTAAAGCCAGTGACAGGATATACATTGCACTTTGTCACTAGTTCTCTTGTCAACATCCACTTAGGATATAAGATAGCAAGTCACATGGCTAAACTATTGGCCTTTTTCTTTAAGTTAGTATTGCTTCGTTCTTAGTACCTCATACTCTTTTTTGGCACTCATTTTGGCTTAGGGAAACATTGTATATGCTACATTGGTATTGTAGCATTGGGCCATAGAAAGCACATGCACAACTCATTCAAAACAAGCAACACTGGTGTGTAGTGAGTGTAAACTCAACACATGAACCACTTTCCATATGTCTAGTCTGTCGCTATGTATGTTCTTTTGTCTTTAAATAAACATAGAGACTCGCCCTGGTGAGTTACAGGTATTACATAGTATTGGTTATTATTCTGGGGGCGTGTTACTCTGTGTGTTTGTTTACTAATGTTGTTGTCGTTATTTGGGTGGGGAGGGTGTCTGTTCTGTTGGTTTGTATTTGGCTATTATTTTAGTTCTTTCGTTATATTGTTTTGACTTTACTGTTGGTTAGGGTGGATAGTTTATAGTATTACGATAGTAAGTTACCAACATCTTATTTCGGGTCTGAAGTCTTGGGGGGTAATAACTGCAGCAGCGAGGAGAGGAGATGGTGGGAGGCAGTAGTGATGTCCTGTGTAAGGGCAATGTGTGGTGAAAATTTTAGGCAGAATATTCGTGTGTGGTATTTAGGAAAAGGTGTGGAGTTAATAAAAGTATTAGTCATGAGGGGCTGAAGAGGGGTTGTTGAGGTGGTTTGGTCATTTTAGAGTGAATGGATCAAGTTAGAATGACATGGAAAGCATTTAAATCTTAGGGGACAGGAAGGCGGGGAAGGGGTTGTCCTCGAAAGGGTTGGAGGAGAGGGGGTATTGTTGTAATGGGGGAGGTTTTGTGGGGCTGGGGCTTGGATATTCCTGCTTGCGTGTGTGAGCGTGTTAGGTGGAGGAATGGTGACGAATGGTAATTGGGTCCTGACATTCTGTTGGAGTGTGAGCAGGGTGTTACTTTGTGATGCGCGATTAAGGGCGTTACAGGTTTCGTAGTTTTATTTTAGTTTTTAGGGACTTGAGGCATGGGGTCCTAGGGGAATTGTATCATTGCCGGATCTTTAATGGAGGGGGTGGGGTGAGGGGATGGGGGGAGGTGTTGTGGGGTTCTGTGTATGTGTATTGCTCTCGAATACTGTTGTATTCTCGAGCACCTCTGCAAAAACAGTGATAATGTGACGAGGTCGTGGTGAAAGTGTTGAATGATGAATGAAAGTTATTATCTTTTTGGGGATTTTCTTTCTTTTTTTTTTTTTTTTTTTTTTGGGTCACCCTGCCTCGGTGGGAGACGGCCGACTTGTTGAAAAAAAAAAAATGACATTACAGTACTATTAATTGCACTACTTACCTTGATCATTGTGTACCCTTAGACGACGTAGTGAAGAAGCACAACAGACCCTTGTCAATGGCCTGCAAGAAAGTGGACTCCATGCATCCCTCTCTATCTCCTCAGCACCTTGCCCAATGTCACACCCCTCCAAGAGGCTGTCAATGCCAGTACCACCTGCAAACTCTATGACAAATAATAATATAAATGGTTTGTTACTTGCTATTTTTATAATTTTTTTTTCATCAATGATCAGGCTGTCGCTTAATTCCGGTTCCAGCGTAATCCGGCACGAATTAGGCTAGCGTCTCTGTTGATAGATTAATTAAATTGACAGGTGAACTGCTAAAATGTTTAGAGCAATGCACTTTTATAAGTGAACAAGAAATAATGAACGTTAACATGCTGGATTAGTGATGGTTGACCTGTATCAATAAAACTAGAAAATGATCATGAGGAAACAAAAATTATTGCAATTGGATGTTTCAGTTACAGAACTGTATTAGGGAAATTTTATTTGATGTCCTGCGAGGCTGTAACAAAATATATGGTCATCCAAATTCCTGAGTGTGATTACTTTTTGTTTTCAGGACATTAAGGAAGCATCTTGAAAGTGATTAGATTAAATTTTGCCTTAAGGTGTCAGTAATGTACTATACCTAATATTTACTAAATTTCTGCATTTTTGGTCATAAAAGGTGTGACTTTTACCCCATAAAAACTAACTCCAAAAAATTGTCTGCATCTTATACAGCTTGTGTAATTGTGGTAGCAGTAGAGTACATATGTATTGCAATGTACTCTAAAAGTTTCAACTAAAACTCCTAAAATTATGATGAGTTAAATGTAAAAGTGCATGAATGATTGTATCTATGAATATATTGTGAATGTTATCTGGAGGAGGTGGATCAGCATTTGAGTCTTACTTACTTTTTGTCATATGTTGTCGCACAACCATATTATTTCAGGATTCATTCTGTGTAGCTTTTAAAATCTCATAATTAAACTAAACATGCACTAGTCATTCTCCTTTTGTCTAAGTTGTCAGGAATTATTATTTTGTTTTAATACACCAGCTGCCTTCCACCAAGGCAGGGTAACCCAGAGTTTTTACATTTTACATTTAGTAATTTATGCAGGAGAAGGGGTTAATTTTATTGTTTATTTTACCTTCCAGAATCTTACAGTCGTGAAGTTACTGACAGTGAAAACCAAGTAACAGGATCAGAAGCTAATGGTCCCAGTGGTTTGCATAAAGATGAAATATGCAGAGAACATTGGGCAGAAAACAAGCTGAGCCTACCTTCAAGAGGGTTAAGACAGAAAGCAGCTTTGAAGAAAAAGCAGCAGGATCTTCAGAAGAATTATCACAGATTAAGGAAAAGAGTGAGTCTTATAATCTTCCCCCTGATGCTGAGAGCATGGAAGCTGAAGCCATTGAAGACGGTAGTGACAGCAGCAGTAGTAGTAGCAGCAGCAGTAACTCTGATAATGCCAAGACAGAGGTCATGGATTCAAGAGAAGCAGAGGCTACTTGCCAAACAGTGAAAAGTAATAATAAGGAAGCCAAATCATTTCATGATAGACTTGGTCAACAAGTAGGAACCAGTGAGTTTATTAAAGAGGATTCCACTCAACTAACAAAGGACATTAGACACAAAGTTCAGGTTCAGGAAGATACTTCATTGTCATTATCCCCAGAAGTGTGTTCTTCAAACAGTTCCAGTAGAGGTGGAACAAAAAAGCTTGAGGAGCAGATTGACACACCTGGTTCATTATCAACTTCTGTACCAACTAAAAATGCTGAGGGAAGTCCAGATTCTGTCGAAGGCACTTCAGGAATAAATCATCAGCAACAGGAACAGATGAAAGAATCACCTCAGGTAAGGTCTTTTCAGATCCTAATTAACTGTTTTGAAAACTTTTACTGCTGTACATAATTATGTTTACAAATCGTCTTGATATTTCTGAATATTTGCTAGCTAGCCTTTCAATTCTGCCATTTTCCTTACACATAATGTGGAGATAATCAATAGCTAGGATAAAGATAATCCAGTGTTGATAATGGCCAGTAACTAGAATATTAAAGATGATGCAATGTTGATGAATAAAAAAAAACTGTGAAGATGCTTTTGTATGATTCTCCCAGCCTTTAGACTAGCAACCCCATGGATGAAGATTAGTTTAGCCTAGCCCTCTTTGACATATGTTGACCATGTCCACAATTCAGTAAATAATATTTCAGGAAGCCCTGCTTATACTAACAAGTTAGGTTCTGGGGCTCTACTGCTGTAGCAAAGTTACTGTAAAAGTGATCACAGCCTGTTTTCACTTTCAAATGTGATAAAAGATTGATGACTTGTTTACACTTATTCATATATTTTGAGCATATAACTAGGCCTAAAAAATGCATATACAGTACACACATTACTTACTTTAAAATATTTTTGTCCTTAGCTTATAATGAGTGGTGAACATATTTCTTGTAGGAAGAATGGGCATAATTGAGGCAGAATGGATATGATTCTAGGAAGAATGGGTACAATTGTAGGAAGGAGATTATAAATTGTAGGAAGAATGGGTATAATCGGAGGAAGAATGGGTATATTGAGGAAGAAATAGGGTATAATTGAGGAAGAATGGGCATAATTGAGGCAGAATGGATATGATTGTAGGAAGAATGGGTGCAATTGTAGGAAGGATGAATATAATTGTAGGAAGAATGGGTATAATTGAGGAAGAATGGGTATAATTGAGGAAGAATGGGTATAATTGAGGAAGAATGGGTATAATTGAAAACTGGTGTATTAGGGAAACATTGTAAAGTGGGGCCTGCCTGTACATTGTAATATATTGAACCTTCTATGTAAATTTGACTTTAGTTAAAGTTAAATCATCAATATTCTTGTATTACATGACAATATTTATATACTTGTATTCTTCATTAATAATTACACATTGATTTGGAATAAAGTGCTATTATCTCTGAATGAATTATAGTATGCTGTTTCAACAAATGGTTATTAAGGAAAGGTAGGTGGGAATTCAGGGAAATTTTCAGCATTATGTTACCTTAAGTTAGAAGATGGTGGAATTGATCTTCAACTGAAATGTTTGTAGGAGGCACAAAAACAAATGGTTGTAGGAGGCACAAAAACAAATGGTTGTAGGAGGCACAAAAAACAAATGGTGTAGGAGGCACAAAAACAAATGGTTGTAGGAGGTACAAAAACAAATGGTTGTAGGAGGCACAAAAACAAATGGTTGTAGGAGGCACAAAAACAAATGGTTGTAGGAGGCACAAAAAACAAATGGTTGTAGGAGCACAAAAACAAATTGATTGTAAGGAGGCAAAAAAACAAATGAAAGACCATTTATTGAAGTAATGGAAGTCACTAGCAAATATAAGGGAATAGTAGAATACTTATGCTTCATAAGCTATGTGCTTGACAAGGCTTAACCATGTGTAAGTGATTGCTATGTAGTTGTGAACAAATAGCTACTCTAGATCTAGATGATCATATTGCAGCAAAGCGAGTTCAGGGCTCTTTTTGATTTTATAATAATAATGACAGCATGGATTACATGACTTTGCGTCAGCTTGTTAAAGTTAAAAGAGTTCTTTAAAATTCCTTAATGATAATATAGTGATATGAGCTTTTTCTATTCTTTGCTTAATATGGTATTAGTATAATAAGACACACCGAGAGGTGGAGAAAATCCTTCCTCCATATGCCAAGCAATGTCATAAGAGGGCAATCTAATATGCCTTGAGCAAAGGGGCTAGTAACCTTTTCTTGTATAAATTACTAAATGTTAAAAAAAAAAAAAAAAAGGAACTTTCTTCCTGTTTTCTTTTTTTGGCGGTCGCCCGGCTTGGTGGGTGTCGGCCATTGTTACAAAAAACCAATGTATAACAAGGGGCTCATTTAATACCCTGTTAGTAGAGTATTTTATTTTATAAAGTTATATGATGAAAAAAGGTCAACTTAAGGGAGGTGCCTTATCCATGGAAACTGGGCCTACTTCTTCCATTTGTTTAGACTGTGACTAACCCATCTCTCATTTCTCCAGAGGCTATAAGACCCTTATGGGTTTTGTGCTTCACCCACTTTATTATAATTGTAATATGAAATAAGGTTTCTTAGTTGCATATTTCAAACCAGTCTTATGTTGTATGCAAAATTAGTTTCTTTTTGTAGAATAAAATAATTTTTTAAGCACTTCCAGTGTCTCCCTCCAAGGAAGAGTGGACCAAAGAAGGAAAACATCCACCATAAATCAGTTGGCTTTCTTGGCCTGAAGTGCTCAACCATCAAACGGACTTTCCCACTCCTTCAAGAGGTAGACACTTACTGCTCTCCTCAGGACTCGAGTTCCAGCTAACCAGTTTACTTATATACCTTCTTAATGTTTCATGAGCATACTTCAACAGCATGGTCAAAGCACTTCACTCAGCTTCTCTAACACATTCACACAACAAGCCTGATGGATGCTCTGGCATAAAATAACATTTTTTTTTACCAGGGGAGGGTGTAAAGAAATATGGAATTGTCGATTTGCACCAATGTTCTTGTCAGTTTTTAAAATGTACAAATATATCAAAATTTGGTAAGACTTAAACTTCATGCCAATTTTCTCATTTTAAACACACTTCATGTGCCATCAAGGCAGGGGTTGGCTGACCTAAAGAGGATACTAAACTTTTTCTTATTATATTTTGTATATGGTTTTCTGTATTGTATATATTTAATTATTTTTAACAGCTTTGTTTTGTGTTTTCTTGTTAATGAGTAATGCTGTCTTTTTTCTTTGAACATGGTTTATTACATTACATGTCAGAAAGTGATCCATGTAGGTGCTGTCCTCATGCCTTGATCTGTTAATTCCCTGGATAGTTAGCTTTTCTGCCCTTTATACTTCAATTTTTATTGCAATCATTGCCATGTTCTCGTACTGTCACTGCTTATAACTGGAGCCTTGCTAGTGGTTTCTTTTTTTTAATCTTTTATTATATCATTGTGTAATCAGCCCCCATTATATTTTCTCTGTATTTTTATTTTTGTCAATAACTAAGTGGAGATGTTTCATTGTCGGGGAATTGTGTGAGAAGAATTGTATGCACCATGTGGAAAATGGCACGATAGTTGTAGATAAGTATGAAGGTGATTTTCTTTAAGCTTAATGTAGACTTCTTTTTGTATAAGATATGCAATTAATATAGTAGGTTGTAGTTATGTTGTAGTAAAGTTATCATAATCTTTACGTGTATTTTTTAGGATGAAGGAGAAGGAAAGTTCAGAAGCAGCAGCTGCACCCGCTGCGGAAAAAGCAGCAGGAGTGATTCTGTAAATGTTCAGAAAGTACTTCTTACAGGAGATCTTAAAGTATTAAACAGTCATGAGCTGACAGCACTTCCAGCATAACAACACTGTATTAAAACAAGCCTGCAAACATCAGCCCCCGGCCCCCACCCTCCCCGCACCCCCCGTTGCAACAATCGCTCTCTGCCATCTCTTTCTCCATCTCATCTACAGGACCCCCTTACCTGCGCCCCTGATCCTTCAGTTGCTCCTCCATGTCCTCACCTCAGATACAGCTGCTCATACCACATCACCAAACTCTATCTACATCTGCTCATCTCCTACAGCAGTTTCTGCAAGCACCTCATCCCCTGTACATGGTAGTCCAGAGCCAACCGTAGACACTGCTACTACCGCCTCAGCTTCTTCCAGTAGTTCACCATCATCAGATTCAACAGTTGATCAAGAACCAGATAATACCTCCTCAGATAGTCCAATAGTTGAAATCAATATTAAAAATGAAAAGGATAATGGTAATGTAAGTTGCTCAAGTTCTCAGCCTGAAGAGTCTGAAATGAAGAGCCAACTAATGAAATAATTATAAAATTAGTTTAAAATACATATTAGCATATTTTTATATAAATTTATTTTACACAGCTGTACCTGCCATTCAGACACAGTTATTACACAAGATATTTTGTATCTAGGTTTGGGAACGACTCTGTTTAAAGATTTATGGCAATTTACTGACTTTCCTACAAATTTATTTCTTTGTATAGACAATTTGTTATGAGGTAATTTTATTTTTTAATATTGCAAGTCATCTCATTAAAGTGTGATAAAGGTAGCCTTTTCTTTTATACATGGGTATGTGTTTGATGAACATATCTGTGAATTAATTTTTTTTTTACAGTTTTCATGGGGAATCTATGGATTTGACTTGAAAGCAAATGCAAAAGGAAAGATGCTTGCCACATTGTGTGCAATAGTCATTTATTGCCCTCAGTTAAGTATCCTAGGTGTATCAGTATGGTATTTGGTACGAGATTTATGTATGTTCCTTTTTTATTTTTGCTGACATTGGAGAAACTGTATTTTACAGTAATGTAGGATTGCGTGTGAAGCAAAAACCAATTACAGTAATGTAAACTGGTGTGTGGTACGTGTTTAATTCCATTAGATTCTTTAGAAACTGGGGATGTTACTTAGTTCTCTAGGTTAGATTACTTTGATAGACTTCCCCCCCCCCCCCCCCCCCCCCCCCCCCCCCCAACTAAGAACTGTAAATATAATTTTCTTAGAGTCAGTAAATAGTAGATTTACACTTCACTATGAATGATCATAGTTGAACAGTTGGGGAAGCATTTTACAGTTTACCAGGCCAAGAGATAGCCAACTTTTGTTACATCAGGGATTGGCTAGAAAAATAGGATTGTTTGATTTTAGCATTCATACACCGAAATTTGTGCCACAGTGTTAGATTTTTTTGCTGAAATTAACAGATACTCTCTATATAAATATATTAAATATTTATACGCCAAACTGATGGCTTCCTGCATGATTTTACCTGTATATTTCCATTGCTGGACCCTGGATGTTACCTATGATGTTTGGTGTATAATATTGTTTAGTACTGTACTGTTCACTATCTTATCCACATTGCTAGTAATTGTGGGGGCTGGTTAGAAGACAGTTATCGCAATAAACTTTTTTGAGTGTACTTATTACTCAGAAGAGCACTCTTCAATTTGTTTGAAGGGTATTATACTGTTAGAAGTGATCCATTGGTGCATTGCCTGGTACAGTAAGGTTGTTTCTTGAGGAGTTGCTAAA